AAGGACTTCTTTGGCATTTTCTTTTAAAGCAGGTCTGATATACGGATTGTTTTTTTGTGTGGTATAAATATTAAGCACACTTTCTATTCCTCTATATCTTGAGATTTGCAGATAAATATACATAACTTGAGGTCTTACACAGTTTAGTCCTTAGCCAGTTCATCTGTAGAATCACCTTTCCGCCTTCACATCATTTTGCTTGCTACTGTTATCTCAAATTTGTGCTTGTCCAAACCTTACAATTAAAAAGTTGCCTACTCTTGTTTTTATTCTCTCCTCACGGAAAGAGTCAGTTTCTGCCTATCCAGTCATGTTTTAAATATTCTCCTATTGGCTGAATTTTGATAGTTCTGTTGTGATGTTATTATAGGTGATATCAAAGCTTACGGATGTGAGGGCTTCGCATGTACCATACAGAGACTCTAAGTTAACCAGGATCCTTCAGTCTTCATTGAGTGGTCATGACCGAGTATCTGTAAGTCTTGTTAGAGCTGTTCTCAATCCTCTTGCTACAATAGATATAAAATCCACAACATGATCATCAGCAGGGTAAAAATTTATTGATAACGTTAAGCACATATGTGATAGTAGTACACTTAACTGATTAGTTTTTCCCTCTGGATATGGTAGCTCATTTGTACAGTGACTCCTGCATCAAGCAGTTCGGAAGAATCTCACAACACATTGAAATTTGCTCATCGTGCAAAGCATATTGAGATTAAAGCCGAACAAAACAAGGTTTCCTTCGCATATCTTCTATCAGCCCTTATTTTTTGTACTGAAGGTCCTTCCTGGTTATTAACTCTGTAAAGTGCAGATAATTGATGAGAAATCATTAATCAAGAAGTACCAACATGAGATTCGCCAACTGAAGGAGGAGTTGGAACAGCTTAAACAGGACATTGTACCAGTTCCTCAGCTGAAGGATGTCGGTACAGATGATATTGTTCTCCTGAAGCAGAAGGTATGCTTGAAAGAGAATTTTTTACTTAACAGATTAAACTTGATTTGTTCCCCCTTTAAACTTTTGCAGTGGAGTAAGGGATGGTTTTTCTGAATAGAGCTCCAATCTTGAAAACTTGAAATCTGCTTTTCCATTGGCTTGCATGCTCTTTCCTCTTTTAACATCACTGCATCTTCCCTCCCTCACATGCATTTGCTGTTTGCGACCACATAAGATGCCAGTAACGAAATTGAATATAAATTGATACTGTTATAGAACTCAAGAAGCTTCTAATATTCCTCCCTTGAAATATTATAACAGTGATAAGCAGATTTAGGTCGAGGTGTAAAAACGTTTTCTTTTGGTGGTAAACATGAATAAAACTACGAGCTTTTTCCCAATTCATTAAAAGAAAGAGAAATATATTTTAATTTTTTCCGCTGCTGATGTTTTCTGAGTACAATTTGTCAGAAAGAATACAATTGCAGATAGAGGTCATTCTGGACCCAAAATACAACATATTATTCAATACTATCACTGTTTCCCACCATTTTATTTATTACTTAGAATATATATGTTCGATTAGACAAGTGTGAGGACGTTTTGCCGTTTAGTTTACAATCAAGCATATGAGAGAACCTGTGGTAACCTGTTTTTCCGTTTTTTGGTTATTGTGATGATAAAAGCTTGAAGATGGTCAAGTTAAGCTGCAATCCAGACTCGAAGAAGAGGAAGAAGCGAAAGCAGCACTCTTGAGTCGAATCCAACGGTTAACGAAATTAATTTTGGTGTCAACTAAAACTTCACAAGCATCTCGATTACCTAATCGTTTTAATCCTCGAAGGAGACATTCATTTGGGGAAGAAGAGGTAGAATCTCTGATATATACTGGCTAATATACAAATTGTTTCCCGGGTTGCTTCTGAGGATGGTTCACTTTGATCTGGAGCAAGTACACAAAACTAAGCATTTTTTGGCTAATCTTGGTTGATAATACATGTGCAGCTTGCGTACCTACCATACAAGAGGCGGGACTTGATGGACGATGAGCACCTTGATCTGTATGTTGCTGTGGAGGGAAATCATGAGATTCCAGATAATTCGTATAGAGAAGAAAAGAAGACCCGGAAGCATGGATTGTTAAATTGGTTAAAGCCTAAGGTAGACAAATGATTTAATTTTCCTATATAGTGTTGGACATTTTTTTGTGATTTATTATGCTTGTTCCTTTCAGAACTGCACCTAGGAACTATAGGTTTGTACTGTTGCACATGTATCACACACGCACTTATAGATTTCTGGATCTCTCATATGCTTCAAAGAATAATGCTATAAGTAAAGAATGATGCAGGTTCTTCTTTGATTCTTTGGTGCCTCCCTTGTCCCCTTATTTGATCCAAGCTTACATTTCCTTTTCAGAAAAGAGATAACAGCTCAAGTGCCAGCGACCAGTCGAGTGTTGTCAAATCTAACAGCACACCATCAACTCCTCAAGGGGGAGGAAGTAATCTGCATACAGAATCAAGACTTTCAGAAGGCTCGCCTTTGATGGAACAACTCTCAGACCCTAGGGAAGACAGAGAAGCTCCGGAAGACAGGTCCCATGCAATGGAGACTCTGGAGGTACATGAGAGATGTTTTCACATCTATAATGATGCCCAAGTAACTATATCACTTTCCATTTACATTTTCCCATGCAATGGAGACTTATGTGCCCTTGTTCCCAGACTAGCAATAAGATGATCGATGAGTTGGATCTCCTGAGGGAACAGAAAAAGATTTTATCTGAGGAGGCAGCACTGCAATCAAGTTCTTTGAAACGGTTGTCAGATGACGCTACGAAGTCCCCTCAAAATGAAGAGATTAAAGTAATATAAATCACTATGTTCATGATCTCTATCTACCTGTCGTTTAAATCCAGCAAATATTCACCTTCCTGGTTCTCTTTGTTACTTAGGAGGAGATGAAAGCCCTCAATGATGACATCAAGGCAAAGAATGAGCAGATTACCACGTTGGAAAAACAAATCTTGGATTTTGTTTTGACATCACATGAGGCATTGGATAAATCTGACATCGTGCAGGTTCGTTCACATTGTCAAGTATTACAGAAACTTCTTTTTCTGTCGTTCATTTCTCAAGCGGATTTCTCTATTAATCTTCAGGCAGTTGCTGAGCTGAGGGATCAACTTAATGAGAAATCTTTTGAACTCGAGGTAATCCATTTGTTTCTGTTTACGCAATACTTCTTCATCTATTGCTACAGCACCTAGAGATGGGTTTTGCCATTGCCTGGATATTATTATTTCTCTTAGCTAAACATATTCTCTGCTCACTCCTCGATAACATTGCTTCTGTGGAAAGAGCAGTGTTCTAAAAAGCGTTCTAGGCGTTCGCTTAGGCGCTAGGCCCCTATAGACCGTGGCGATTACCGATTTTGCCGCCTAAAATATTATGGTATTATAATAATAAAATAATATAAATTTTTGCATATATAAATCGTAGAAATATTATATATTTGGTTATAAAATGATGAATATAAATATAATATACATTTTGTTAGTTATAAATTAAGGTTTTTATATATTTACCATATATATCTAATATATTATGTATTTTTGTAAAACGTTTAGACCGCCTATTAAATTGCCTAGGCTCCGATTAAGCGTTTTAGGCACTAGGCATTGGGTCACCGCCCGCTTTCCGATTAAGCGTTTTAGGCACTAGGCATTGGGTCACCGTCCGCTTAGCGCCTAGCGCTTTCTTGAACATTGGGAAAGAGTGATCAAAAGGCCAAATTATATAAACAATGAAGCCTAATGGTATGTTTTAGGTTTTGTTCTCATTCTTAGTCTTTGTTTACAGGTCAAAGCTGCAGATAATAGCATCGTTCAGGAACAACTCAATCGAAAGGTTCAGAGACTACTACTTTATCTGTCTCCCTGATTTCATGCGTCTTTGGAAAACTTTGGGACTAGGTTTGTAATGTGTAGAGGATTCAATAACCGATGTGGTATTTCCTGCAGACATGTGAATGTGAAGGGTTACAAGAAGAAGTTGCAAACCTAAAGCAGCAGCTCTCTGTTGCCTTGGAACTAGCACAGGTCTCTTTACACATTTCGTAACCACTTTTCACCAATATTCTTCTTATAGCCACATGATGCTTAAAAAACTCTATTTGCTTTCTGACATGAAAGGAAACTAAGATTGAAGAGCTGAAACAGAAAGCTAAGGAACTAAGTGAATCGAAGGAGCAATTAGAACACCGTAACAGGAAACTCGCCGAAGAGAGTTCATATGCGAAAGGTCTTGCATCAGCAGCTGCAGTTGAGCTGAAGGCACTATCAGAAGAAGTCGCAAAGCTTATGAATCAGAACGAGAGACTAGCAGCTGAGCTAGCAACACAGAAGAGCCCAGTCACACAACGTAATAAGACAGGAACAACAACAAATGCAAGGAACAGTGGAAGAAGAGACAATCTTGTAAAGCGGCAAGAGCAAGATAGCTCGTCGATGGAGCTGAAGAGAGAACTGAGAATGAGCAAAGAGCGTGAGCTATCATACGAAGCTGCACTTAATGATAGAGATCAAAGAGAAGCTGAACTTGAAAGGATAATCGAAGAATCGAAACAAAGAGAAGCATATTTGGAGAATGAGCTCGCTAGTATGTGGGTTCTTGTTTCTAAGCTAAGAAGATCTCAAGGAGCTGATTCTGAAATATCTGATTCTGTTTCAGAGACACCACAAACCGATCGATCATTTTGAGAAAAAAAAGACAACATAAGTAGGATAAGTTTGTGCAGTGATTCAAGAATTTGTGCTTGGTGTTTGTAAAGTCTCAGATTTCTTCGGTAATCGAGACTCTTCTTTTAATTTTGTTGATAATTTTGTAAAGAAGATTGAAGTGAAGAAAATTATCATTGTCTCTTTCAATTAACTTGCCCAGATCGAATCAGAATCCAGAAACTGTTTCTTATTATGAACCAAAATCTCAAAAGAAGAAGACAGAAAACCAAAATAGAAAGGTAAAACAGTGTTCAATGAACATGCACAGATTGATCAGTTCGTCTTGGGATCTGACATTGGGAACAAACCAGCACCAGCAGCTCCACGAGGTGGAGAAAACCCGAGAAATTTCTGTAAATTGGTTCTGATGCTGATTGAACACAGAAGATAAAGAAAAGCCATAGAGCAATCCGTTGGATCATCACCTTTCAATCCCCTGTGGCTCATCTTCTTCACGATCGTAATCGGGTGGAAAGGAAGCTTCGCGACGACTTTACCTTCAAAGAGGGAATTAAGCAACCCGAAGACGACGAAAAGAACCAACGCCACGACAGCACCGGATTTGAACTTGAAGAGAGACAGATCTCGGCTCGATTCCTTCAAGCTCGTTTCAACGCGATCGATCTTCTTCGTCTTCGATTTCTTTAAGCTTAGCTTCGAGGATGGGTTCTCTGTCTTCATCGTCTCGAGTTTCTTCGCTGCCTTGTCAATTGAGTATTTCAATGATTTGTAGGAGCTGGTACGGTAGATTAAGATCCACGAGATGGCTTCACAGACCAACGCGGTGCAGAAGGAGATTCCGACGACGGTTAGACTATCGGCGTACGTGAAAGAAGCGAAGAGTGGAATCGTCGTCGCCATTTGTTTGCAGAGATTGGAATTTGATTTCCCTTCGCTTTCTCGAGAAAACAAAAAACACTCTTCTGTTCCTACTGGAGATTTGATTAGGAATTTAGAAAAGTCAAAAGAGGACAAAAGAAAGAAATTAAGAAAGTTACGGGGCACTTTAAAAGAAAATATTTTCTTCCCCTTTCGACCACAAATCTTACTGAACTTCAAATTTGTCCCAATCTTTTCTTTTCTTATTTACAAAACCCAACACACCAAAGAGCGTAAATCATGCAGAGATGTCTATTTACAAACAAGAGTCAAAAAGGAGTTTTTGGGTTGAAGTTAGAGTTAAGAGTGTTCTTAGGAGCACTTATCCATGGAGTATCTGCAATGGCAAATCTCCACAAGGCATTGACATGTTGAGGCAATGCGTAATCTATCCCAACGCGAGGACCAACCATTACTCTCTCCACATCTTCTCCCCCATCCAGAAGCTCCAGTCCTCCTGTGTTCATACATTTTTACTACAAAGATTAAACACTCTTAA